AGCAGCAAGCGAAATGTCCTAGTTCCTATGGTACCAGTAAGCGTCTGAATATTTATCCGTCTCGCCCTGAGTGTTAAATGTCGGCCAGATCCCCTGGTAATTCCTCGCAGCTCCATTCTCCTCAGGCCGTAATGATCTACTAGTGCCTCTGTACTGTTCACTCGCCCTTACGACATCTAGCTTGTCGTTTATCAGTTGACTATCAAGGGGCGCAGAACCGGTCAGACTGTTTGCCTGTTAATTTCCCAACATTCCGGCATAACATAGAGAAAAAAATCCAAAGGGCGCTAACTACCCTGGACAATGAGCTACCTGTTGGAAATTGGTACTAAACGAGGACAAGCATGCAGAATCGAAAGGGGGGGGGGGGGGGGGGGGACAGATAGGCCAGTCAACTCCTAATGGGTTACGTTGAATATGGTGACACTGAGATGGCTGCTGCATCGGAAGATGGAGCCACGACCGGCTCTGTGACGGAGCACGAAAAGGTAGGATCGATGTACTAGGATGTCGATCTTCTTCTTCTTGCTCTTCTCTTCAGTGAGGTGTCGGGGGACATCAATTCTGACAAGTAACAGGTGGCAGGTTTAGGTTTTTAGAACCTACTAACAATATTTCAGAGCAAGAATTTGATTTACACATAAACGAGCTACTTTCTATTCGCAGACTATCAGTGCCTGTTTTACATGAGGAGAAGTAGACTGCAAGACCATTTAAATAGGCTGAGGTCAACATGCAGAAGATATAACCGAAGGTAAATACGATCAAAACGAAAGTAATACAGTTCAGTAGAATCTCTAGTCAGCTACACAGAGGGTTGAATGGTACTTGTCTGAAGGTAAAGGTCAGTGTAAAAGATGAGAGCATCGACTTCATTGCAACAGGTTTTATCCCATGTGGCTCCGTCTCTTTCCACAGAACAGCTATCTGCCTACCGAAAGCGTCTCACAGAGCACGACCTTTGTAGCTCCGGGAACATCCCTATGGATCTACTTAAAAATTGCACTGAAACTCGCTGCCTTGAAACGAACCTATGACTTTTAGAGCGCGAATCAAACGGCTTGACCAATACGGTACAGAGACCCCCACTTGTCTGAGGAAAGTTAAAGAATCTATATAGGAAATATATTCTCGAAGGACGGGAGAATAGATCAGGAAATTGAAGCAAGATGCCAACCAGGTAGTGCACTTATATACCAACTGACACTCTTATTAAGAAACACAAACATAAGTATGAGTACCAAGAAACAGATTATAAACAAAACAGCATATTTACATCAACTCTGTGCTACCAGTGCCAGACTTGGACATTAGCAAAGATTAACCTTCGTAAAATTAACAGTTGTGAAAAGAAATGCATGAGAAAAGCCACCAACTTAACCAATGAAGACAAAGTTAGAAATAGTAACATCAGACAGAATGTGGTAACAAAACCATGAAGCAAATTCACTAAACAGAAGATCAAATGGTTTGGTCATTTAGTAAGAATGCAGTCAGAACAATTACAAACTCAAGTAATATACGTGAAAAGTACGACGTGAAATCAATAGATCGCCCTAGAAGAATATAGTCTGATGACGTTAAAGAGCTTCTGCATTGACACGGAATGACAATAACCGTTGCTACTCATCAAGCTCCAGAAAGCAATGGCAAACTACTGGACGTAAATTTGCCCAGAAAAACCACACAACAGTTAGGGGCTGTAGGGTTTGTTCTGCAACGTCCTGTAAAGGATACACAACTAACCATTACACATCAAGCAATGAATCGCAAAGTGTTCACTAAACGAATTTACATGTTGAATATTGAATGTTTAATCAAGAATCGACATTACAGCACTCGGAACACCCTCATAAGCGCTCCGTTCCCATCCTCAGCAGCGAGCGAAGAGTTTCAATTTCCGATGGTACCAGTAACTGTCTTTCACAAAAAATAAAAAGCATTATCGGTAATTCCCATAGTATTCGAAAAATCAAACGTACCATTGCAAGATTATCCGTGACTGTACGTATTTGCTTGTTGCTGTCATTTCTTGCATTTTTTAAAATCACCATATTGCATACTGTAAGTAAGTTTGTATGATACAAAGTAAGGTAAAACATATAATAACACGATTATCTAATGTTCTGCCGGCTGATGTAGGGAATCATGAAATAAAAAAAAATAAATAAAAAAAAATGGCTGTAGGCAGTGCCGGCAGGTTTTTTTTCCTCTTAGGCTTCAGTTTTTTTTTTTCGGAACTACTATAGACACTTACAGTGAGTGCCGGTACCTTTCGTCGTAGTATAGCAGCTAGACACTCGCTTGCAGATCCGAAGATCGTGGATTAAGATCCTAAAAGAGCCGCAATTTAGGAAACATGACCTTGGCTCCCAGGTAGATCCAACCTTAAATGAATACCAGGTAAGGTCCTGGAAAGTAAAGGCGAACGGCGTGATGTTGATCACATTACCCACCATGTGCCGACTAGACTATAATATATAGATTTACCCTACACGTCCGTGAGTCTGATAGTATGAAAGGACCACTTTTATTCCATGAGATGGACTAATGTCATCCCCACGACCCAACCCGGGTCACGCCCTATTGGCCAACCCCTCCCTCCCTCTTTAGACACTCAGTGTAGGCTGTTTGTGGACGTCGACTCCGTCCATTTCCTAGTTATAGTGTACCCGTTCTTTGCTCGCCGTCCGTGCGTTGGTGATAAATTCGCCAGTACCTGTCCTTGACATCCTTTCGAAGGAAGTTTTTTGTCAGGAACACAGATGAGTATCATTTATTGTGTACATTAGTCCCATGTAGTTACTTCATAGCTAGAATATATTTGTGTATGTGTACTGTATTGTTTTTTATGTGCTGATTAAGGCTAATCGCCGCAACGTCCTTTGTTCGTTTATTGTGATCGATTTTGTAAAGCTTTTTTTTCTTACCTATAATTTTCTACTCCTTTTAAAAACTAGTATGAAAAGGGTGCTCCACTTTATTTACTTTACTTCTTCTTCTTTCTTCTTCTTCATCGACACTCACAGGGTGATGTGGTCAGCTTCACGCCGATCGCCTTTACTTCCTAGGACTATACCTGGGTCGACCTGGGAGCCAAGGTAATTTCTGAAAATAGTCCGGCTCCGTCAAGACTCGAAGCCATGACCTTCCAATCTACAGATGAGCTCTTAGCCAGACACAGCAGAGCCCGGCCTCCCCTCCCTCCCCCTTTTCCACATGTATATAAATTTATTTATCTGCGCCACGTCAACACAGTCGTCGCTACAAGACAGTCTTGATACCCACCCAAAGCAAACAACTGCTAGTCCTTCTTAAGATAGGCACATATTTGCCCAAAGCAAATAACTGCTGATCATTTTTAGGATAAGCAGTAAAGCTCTTTCTGCGAGTTACCACATAGTTTAATTTCTTCCCAAAGCAAATAACCACTGGTCATTCTTAGGATAAGCAGCGTCACACTTGAAGCACACATCAAGACGAGAGGTCAAATAGCAGAAGCAGTTTTATTCGTCACCATGTCTCGAGGAAGCAGACCTAGCGGAAAGCGTGCCTGCCAGAAGAGGCAACCCACTAACTGATCTACCCGATCTGCTTCAGCATCCAAACAGACGCAAGCAACTACTACCGAATCAAAGATGGATGACGCCCCGGCCACTAGTGAGGCCCTGAGTGACGTCCCAGCGTCACCAGAACCAGCACGGCTGACACCAGAAACGTTACCAGATAGACAGAGGACAGGCAACAATGCATTTCCTGCCACCATATTTCTCCGAATGACCGCCTTGGGCCGAGCAGCTGTTACCACACTCGCAACGTTGACGTTGATCAACACGCTGGAGATCCTGCTCGGCTAAAGTGCGATCGCGAAGATCAGGAAAATTCCAGAGGGTGTGATAGCTACACGCTCTTTCTGCCGGTATCTTTGACTTCCGTCTCATTTGATGCCAAATCCTTTCATTCTTCATTTCTCAATACTGAAGATTTGACAATGGGTGTTGTTCCAACAGTTCTTGTGATCACGTCGTTTCTCACTTGATCTTCTCTGGTTTCATTCACAGCCATGCTCAAACATCTCATCTCATATTTTTATATTCAAAATTGACAATTTTAATATAATTTTAATAATGTTTGTAATATTTAGTATTGACAATTTCAATATTATTTATATTATATTTTATTATCAGTATTGACATTTTCACAACATGAAGATCAATGTAAACAAAACCGAAACAATGCAAGTTAGTAGAACCCCTGCCCCACTACACATACAACTGAATGGTTCTGCCCTGAATCAATTTAGGGAGTTTAAATATCTAGGAAGTATGATCACAGAAGATGGTAGAATTGACAGAGAAATAGAAACCAGATGTCAGAAAGCAAGTGCACTTATAAACCAATTGTCACCATTATTAAAAGACATCCAAGCATAACTATGAGTGCAAACAGACAGATTACTTATAGCATATTCATTCTAACATTAAGCTACCAGTGTCAAACATGGACACTATCTAAAGCAACAAAATCACCATCTGCGAGATAAGGTGCCTGAGAAAAGCAGCCAACCTAACCATCCGAGATCGAGTGAATAATAAAACTATCAGGCAAATTGTGGGAAGGACACCTTGTACTAGATTCACAGAGAAACAGCAGATCAAGTTGTTTGGCCACCTAGTTAGAATGCAGCAAGATCAAATACCATCACAAGCACTACATTTAAGAAGATCAGATACTAGAGCAAGAGGACGGCCGCGGAAAACTTTGATCGACAACATTAAAGACACTCTACGCCTTCACGGCATGACAATAGCCAATGGCAGCCAACGTGTTCTGGGTCGCAAATTATTCCTCCCCGCGACGCTTAACGGCAGAAGTGGTTTATGATGATGATTGACATTTTCAATATTATTTTTATTTAATTTTTATCTTGAATATATATAATTTAAATATTTTTTGCCTCTTTGTCTACAGGCTGTCGTTTTCACGACCTCCTTCTCACCATGTTGCGATTACGGGACATGTCAACAGTTAATCAAAGTCAGATATTCAAAGTAACTTCAAAGTATGACTACAAGAAGTCACGGGGAGCTAAATCAACTAACTATCTCTCTGCATCGAGGTGCGTGCTTTTGTGTGTGTGTGTGTGTGTGTGTGTAGTTTTTTGTTTAGAATCCAAAAACCATGGGTTGTAAACCCTTTGGGTCGGTACTATGGATATCGCAACCCTTCGGCCTTGATTCTATGATCGATACCGTAAATCTTGGAAATATATGGTAAACGCGTAGGTGCTTTCTTAACATACTACCCCAAACAGGGGAAATCCACAGGTCACGGGACACGCTACTATTTCAGGGGGTGGCAGATAGGCGGCATGCAGTCGTAGGACCTAGGAAGCACTCTCTTGTGGAACGTAGGTGGGTTGGGGTTAAGGCCAGTTCTAGATTTTTTGGGGTCGTTAAAAGCACCGGAAAATCCGGAAATCTAGTCTAACCACCCTCGACATTGTTAGACTGGCCTGTGAATTCATCTGGGGTAGGATATTACGAAAAAAGCAAACACGAATCTTGGGAAAGCTGATGGCTGTGAGACGACGCTTCTTAAAATTTCGGTCGAAATATTTTTGATACGAATTTGAATCGTAGTTTTAGTGTGATCTATCCAGGCTCCCGACTCGACCCAGCTTAAAGTGGATACTAGGTAATGTTCTAGACAGTAAAGGCGCCCGACATGCTATTGAATACATCAATCAACTATTGATGATTGGTCAATAATAGTATGAGTCAAGCATCGTATGCCCCAAATATGTAGAAATTGATAGTTTTGATACTATTGTTATTAAAACTCTTTCAACTTCAGTCATTAAATTCTTGTATGAAACGAAAAATCGTTGAATAATAATAATAATAATAATAATAATAATAATAATAATAATAATAATAATAAGAAGAAGAAGAAGAAGAAGAAGAAGAAGAAGAAGAAGAAGAAGAAGAAAAAGAGGAAGAAAACAAAGACGAAGAAGACGAATAATAATAATAATAATATTAATAATAACAAGAAGAAGAAGACAAAACAGAAGAAAAATAAAAATAAGAAAAAGAAGGAGAAGTCGAAGAAGTAGAAGAAAAAAAAAGAAGGAGAAGAAGAAGAAGAAGAAGAAGAAGAAGAAGAAGAAGAAGAAGAAGAAGAAGAAGAAGAAGAAGAAAGAAAGAAAGAAAGAAAGAAGAAGAAGAAGAAGAAGAAGAAGAAGAAGAAGAAGAAGAAGAAGAAGAAGAAGAAGAAGAAGAAGAAGAAGAAGAAGAAGAAGAAGAAGAAGAAGAAGAAAGAAAAGTAGAAATAGAAGAAGAAGAGAGAAGAAGAAGGAAGAAGAAGAAGAAGAAGAAGAAGAAGAAGAAGAAGAAGAAGAAGAAGAAGAAGAAGAAGAAGAAGAAAAAGAAGAAGAAGAAAAAGGAGAAAAAGAAGAAGAAGAAGAAAAGTAGAAATGCACAACCCAAGTTGATGGTCAGTTAAGTACACCCTATTTATAGCACAAAAACTGGACGCTGATTTGAAGAGGATGACAATTTTATATATATACTAGCTGTACCCGGCCACGCGTTGCTGTGGCATAGTTTGGCTAAATGGAAATGAAAGAAAATAGAAATCGCACGTGTCTAATACAATCATTGTCTGCTCAGATATAGAGATAGTCTTTGATTCCCCCCCCCCCCCCCCCACAACTAAATCCACCTACTACTCTCTCCCTCATCAAAGGTTTTTGGAAAAGAAAGACAATGGAAATCGCACCTGTCTAATATAGTTAATGTCAAAATCATTCTCTGCACATTTTTATATACATAGTCTGGTTTTCCAACTTTAGAACACGCACCATCTAATTGTGTCTTTATATTAGTGGTCGTTTAAATGGTGCTATTAGCACAGTAACAAAAGTGGTTATTTGGTTATCACATGCTAAAGCTGATTGTATTTTTATAGGAGACGTAAGTAAAGCTACTAATGTACTTGTAAATAACAAAGTAAGTCGTATAAAAATTAGAATAGCGAAGGTAGCGTTAGTAAAATATGAACAATTTAAGTAAGTAATGAGAACATAAAAATCATGTGTAAAGCTCTTTAAGTTCTCTTAAATTTCAGTCATTACCATCTCCCCTCCCCTCTTCCACCGACTACTGCTCTCTTCCTCTTCGAAGGATTGAAAAATCATCACCTGGCGATATTTTTTTTGTTGTAACTGACATTGACATCCCTGTGCATCCGGACTAATTGGGAGCAGGAATTGTAATAGGTAGTGAATGGGGCTAATGTAATATTTACCGCATCATCCTTCAAGTACAAGTACAACTACTACCACGACCACCACCACAGTAGCTAAAATAATGTCACTGCTATCTGTTTTACCATCGGAGTAGACAGGGAGTCGTGAGCCAGAAGATTTGGCGCCGCATGGCTAGTGCTGTCGCCACGGACTGGTCAGGTTAGGATGTATAATTTCGCTTCCCGACAGGAGAATGCCATAACCTTATGTGGCGGGTAACTTCGCTTTAACTAGCGAATGCACTATGTGCAATTCACAGAGGGAATTACAAACAGTAAATCTTAATAAGGGTTTTTTTTACCCCCAGCCTTGCTGGTTAAATTAGAGGATTTGGGGTTTGCCCACATCTGATTCCCTACTGTTATTAAACTTGTATATTTAAATGTTCTTAAGTTCACTGACAATGTTTACAGTTAGAAGGAAACTCCATAAAACTGCAGGAACATTAAACTAACATTTATTAGGATTTTCAAATCAATATAAATTCAAATGATAACTAAATAAAATGGCTGTGGATATAAAATTATGGATTGGGAAAGCAACAGATGTTCCCACTTAGCTGTAGCTTAGGTTTCTGTTGTCAGCTTCTGACTAAGCTTCGGAAACACATCAGGCAGGCCGAATCTTCCAGTCCAGTCCGGACAATCGGGTATCTGCAGCTTAGCTTAGGATCTACTTCTGGACTACAATCTGGAATACAATCTGGAACTAGAACAATAGAACAATCCTTATACAAACAGTCAGGAAAGTTCTAACTGGAGACAACAATACCTCCAGTCTTTAAATACTGTTACACTACACACATATATATGGAGTAGGATAGTAACAGGTGTTCACATTCTACTGGTATAGAATAGGAATGTGTACAGAACATGGTCCATAATCCTGATGGGGAAATATTTAGGAAACCAGTTTCATGAATACTCCCAAGAACAAGAGTTTACAGCACACAAAAAGAAAGGACATTCCTCAGTGTAAATTGTTCTGATGTCTGCACACTAGTACTCCTTTGAAGGGTTAACATGCTTACACACACAGACATACACAGTCATATTTCACAATATTCTAATTTTAACCACATGGGTTCACATCACAATGAATGAGAAACAGGGAGTGAGTTTACCAAGGCCAGAAACTCATAACAGGTGCTTTGCACTGTTTGAAAATAAATGGGATTGACATATCTCCATCAATATACTGGGTGCTGGGATAGATGTCAAAATACAATCATAGATGACAATGGGCTTTCCATCTGTCACAGTATTAACATAAAATATACAACACTCACTCCAATATCTAAATCCACACATGTGCTAATCTTATTCAGCAGAGTTTAGAAGTGGTGAGGGGTGAAATATAATTATTAAATTTGTAAGGCCACCTGCTGTAGAACTGAAATGTATTCCTAGTAATAGGGAAATATATATACAACAATAATAATTACAAGCATGGGCCATACATCTCTCTTCTTCTTCTCTGACAGTGTGAATATTAAATTCAGCCTCACTGTGGTATTCACTTTCCAAGCTCTTAAACTAGTCTCAGAATTATCTGGACTAAATCTAAATTAAAGCAATACAGTGATTTATCAAGCTAATATCACCATGAGGTAAAAATCAACTTAGTAGGGATTAGGTATAATGAATATACACTTCATTCTTATTTTTAATTGTCTAAGCTGGAAACAGGAACTGGCTGAGCTTTCACATGAGGACATAATTATCACTTAATTAATATAAGTATAATTATTAAAAATACCAATGCACGTTTCTAGTAGCCAATAAACATTAATTCAATCATCAAATAGATAATATGTTTGCATACATGTACATACTAGATCATAAACGTGGTTAGTGAGGATAAAGAAATTTATCATAGTTTTTGAGCCATGTGGGCATTAAATTTCAGAATTTAACCTGTGGAATTAATTCAGAGGAATAAGCAGCAATACATCAAATTAAACTTATTCTTTTAACTCACCCCTGGCAGGGAATTCAAACAGAAAATTGGACCACAGGCGGACTAAGAACTTTAGTCTGAACCGGTCAATTTCTGAATTGAAAAGGGAAGTGGAGAGTCCTACCAAGGGGGAAGTTACTCTTTGTTACCCCTTGCACTACTCTTCGCCTTTATTACCTTTCAACTCTTTAATTATAATTTTGCTACAATGAAGCATTAGGAAAGGGGTAAGAAATTTCTTAATTAGTCCAGTGTTATTATGCTAATTAAAAGCAATAGAAAAATGTTTAGAACTTTGGTAATAGTATTATCTAAACAAAGCACTTCTTAAAAGGACAGAAACAGCTGTCCAGACCAGCTCGTCACACCTTACCGGTGGTCTTCACATGAGAGCACTACGGTGTAACCGCCCAACCACAACTACTACTGCTGCTGCTACTTTGAGTGGGTAAAGCAGTGACTGTGACTTAAAGCTCTCTCAGTAATCAGTTTGCCCCCCCCCCCCCCCCCCAAATACACCGACTACTCTTTCCCTCATCGAAATAGTTGAGAGGGGAAAAAAACCAATTGAAAAGCAATTAAAACAAGAAAAATACACCAGAATTAGGAAATGAACGCTATGGTAAACAGCCCAGCTTAAAATTCCAACGCAGATGAAATAATTAAATCTAAATGAAAAAAATGGAAAGCTATGAAATTTCAGCGAAAAGTTTAAAATGAAATCATAAGTATGTGAAATGGTCAAATTTAATTATCAACTGGTTTACCAACAAACCTGTCCTTGTTTTTTTTTTTTTTTTTTTTTTTTTTTTTAAATATATATATCATATGGCTAGCGCTGTCGCCACGACAGTGAAGGTGAGGATTTTATTTTGGCCCCAAGTAAAAAAAAAAAAAAAAAAAAACCTCCTGCCGATTCGAACCCTGGTCTCCCTCTCAAGAGCCGAGTGTTCTAACCATTCGACCAAGCAACCACTCTATCGGAGTAACGAAAAGAGAACATAACTATTTTAGATGTGTGTCCCTACTGCAGTGTCCCGATTATAAAACAACTCAAAACAGCAGGCAATTGTTTTCTCATAGACAGATATTCCAAATATAATAATGAAACATCACAACAAAAGAAATCGCACGTGTCTAACACGGTTAATGTCGCAGTCAATGTCTGCGCAGACGTCGAGATAGTCCCTGATGCCCCCCCCCCCCTCTTTTTCCCTACCAATCCATCGGCTACTTTTCAACTCATCGAAGGATGTTTGAAAAAAAACCAGAAAATAGAAATCGTGTCTAATATAGTTATGGTGGCAATCACTGCCTGCACAGATATAGATATAGTCTTGTTTGCTGTACCACATTCTACTCTATGTATTAGAGGAGGTGTTGGCTGCACGGCGCATGCGCAATTACTAACGTGGCTATAATTAGAAATCACTAAAATTATAAATATTGGTTTCGAATATTATGGCTTAAATTGTGGTCACCTATCTCTAACAGTGTCAGGTTGAATTCCAAACCATGATGGTTCAACATCCGGTATCAAAACAAACATATCCTGAAAATTTCAGCTAAATCGGTTCAGTAGTTTCCGAGTCTATAGGGGGCAAACAAACACACAAACATTGATTTTATATATATATATATATATATATATATATATATATATATATATATATATATATATATATATATATATATATATATATATATATATATATATACTAAGTAGGTTAAGTAATGATACCTTTTTACGCCCTTTGGGCTAATCGGGCAAATGGAAAGAGCTCCCATATTTTTACAGACAAATCGGCCCAAGGTAGATAATGTAGTCAGCATTACGCCGGTCGTTTTTACTTCTAAAGGACATCCATTCTGGTATCTATTTTAGGCTGGGTCGACCTGTGACGCCCCATTCCACGATAAAAATCCACGCAGCCAGCAGTAAGTTTCGATCGCGGCACGTTGGATTTACCAGTTAGACTCGCAACGCCACGGACGCCGCAATAATATATATATATATATATATATATATATATATATATATATATATATATATATATATATATATAAAGACTTAGCTGATTTGTGCACTCATCTTTTATCTGTAGCACCTTTAAGGTTTACACCCCAGAATTAAGATGTGTCAAACACAGCGCCCGGATCACCTCGTCAAGATTTCGGGCCTGTTCAGAGAATCACGATTTTGAGAAACTGAAGTGGCAGCAGACGTTTGACGCAATGGGCGGACTGACAAAGCTGAAGCAGAAAGAGTACAAACCGTTCACAACGCTCAACGAAGCACCTTATCACTGCTGCTCATTAGCGCGGTCTTACAGTGTAAGTAGTTGCTGTGTGGTTCGAACACTGGACCTCTTCTCTGGTACTGTTCAGCCCTATAGCTTCAGGTTTTAAAGAGACCTCGGGTTTCTTTATTAATATCATACCCCAGATGACGTCACATGACATTCCAACATTTTAGAGGGTTTCAAGACTAGGTTTCCGGGCTTTCTGATGCTTTGAACGACCCCAAAACATAAAGAACTGGCTCTAACCCCAACCCACCTAAGTCCCACGAGAGAGTGCAGCCTAGGTCCCACCACTGCATGCAGCCTATCTACTACCCCCTGAAATATTAGACTGTCTCGTGACCTGTGGATTTCCCCTGTTTGGGGTAGGATATTAATAAAGCACCGACCTCGGATGCCAGCCTTGGTATGTGCTACGTAGATGCTGATCTTTACCGTCCCGGATATTCCAAATACGCGATGAGCCTCAAGCTCTGCTTCTATTATGTCTAAGTGACAAAGGTCTCTGTGTTGCACCATATACTGGTTGTCTTGACACATGTCCAAACCCCCTGACCTGTTATTTAGCACTGGTTCTGTCCCACCTTCTTTTCCTGACACTGTTATTTCTGATTGTCTCTCTTCTAGTTAGAACAGGTATGCTTCGTGCAGAGCGGCATGCTTCGCTGCGGAGGACACGGGTGCGGAGTATTGTCTGGATTTTTTCACCGGGGCACGCCGGTGTGTTGGGAAATAAACACGCGGACAGACTGGCTGGCTCTGCACAACTAGGTGGAATATTGATACATGATAAGGCAGACGTGGTTAGTGCCTTGTGGGAGAGCGTGTACAGTTCGAAGGAGCAGATGGATCACCACAGTCTGGTGAGATTGATGCAGCAGGGAGTGACGAGAGGTTGTGGCAGATGCTCGAGGCTCAGAGGAAAAGCAAGACAGACGTTTAATCAGAATGCTACTGGTACCATTAGCATTGGAACTCTTGGCTGGCTGCTGAAGATGGATACGGAGCGCTTATGGGAATGCCCCGAGTGATGTGTTGTCGGTTCTTGAATCAAATCAAGTCAAATCAAATCAAATCTCTCTTCTAGTTACAATGACAATTTATTGCAGACATTTTGTTTCTGTTTTTATCTTCCGATTTTTCTTTTTTGTTTTTGTTTTTTTATGTACATGTTTTGCACTAGTAATACAATGATGGTTAAAAATACTGTATTAAAAGAATGCTCTTTTGGTGTAACTTGTTACATGTGTTTAGTATCACCTGTCAGGTAATTTAATTTGTTTTATTAAGTCTGTGTTCTTTTTCTTGCACAAGTTTTCCATTGAATGATAGTATGCTACATAAATACTTTAATCTTTCGCTTGCTTTAAATACTGGGTTTCCATGCCCTTCTTGATTGGTTGTTGTGTTCTTGCAATAGCCATTACTTTTTTTTTTTTTTTTTATGATAATTTTCATGTTTTGAGCTTTCGTTGCTATATTCAGATCACTCATGTATCTCTTCGCCTGTAGTTGCCATGTTTACTTGGTCGTCTGCGAAAAGAAGTTTATTCCACATTTTGTCCTCAATAATTTCGGATGCTTTACTAATTTGATCTAAATATGTGATAAATAGCAGAAGGGATAGAACGCATGCCTGATCGACTCCGGTTTGTAAATAGAACTTTTATGTCGCAGTTTATCTCACTACACTTTGGTCAACATTTACAAATGTTTACTTGTGCTAATTAACCCCACAGACCCTTAGTGTTTCCACAGTAGAAACTAGACTTTTCCCAGTAAAAACTACAGACTCTCCACAGTAGAAACACATGCTGTATACAGTAGTAACTACAGACTTTCCACAGTAGTAACTACAGACTTTCCACAGTAGTAACTACAGACTTTCCCCAGTAATAACTACAGACTTTCCATAATAGATACTAGAGACTTTCCATAGAAGAAACACATGCTTTTACACTAGTAACTACAGACTTTCCATAGTAGAAACTACAGATTTCCACAGTAGAAACTACAGACTTTCCACAATAGAAACTTCAGACTTTCCATAGTGAAAATACATACTTTATACAATAGTAACCACAGACTCTCAACAGTAATAACTACACACTTTTCACAGTAAGAAACTTCAGACTGTCCACAGTAAGAAACTACTGACTTTCCACGAGAGAAACTACAAACTGTCCACGAGAGAAACTACAGACTCTCCACAATAGAAACTATAGACTTTCCACGAGAGAAACTTCAGACTCTCCAAAGCAGGAACTACAAACTTTTCAAGAGAGAAACTACAGACTTTCCATAGTAGAAATTACAGACTTTCCACATCAGTAACTACAGACTAAAGAATGGGGAAAAATATTTGGGGGGAGAGAGAAGAGCCTTAAAGGGCCTTAGACTCGTAGATCCCTGAAAGAAACCCGCTTCAGTTGGTTTGTTGCACACATATGAAATGTATATTAGCATTTGTGGTGGATTTAAACATAGTAACTTAAGAAGCCCGAATGCGCTGGGTCGTCAGAAATTGTCTACATTCATGTGTAGTCATTTCACAGTTATTGTATATGTGTGTGTGTGTGTGTGTGTGTGTGTGTGTGTGTGTATACTGTGTTGTCTTTGCTGATGAGGGCTAATCGCCGCAACGTCCTCTGTTTATTCATTATAGTGGATTTTGTAAAGCTGCCATAAACTGTTTTTTTTTTCTTTTTCCCTTTCTTCTCTTTCCTACGATTTCCTACCATTTTAAAAACTACTTCTAGGCGAGACCACAGATACGTCCTTGAATATGGAATCGGGTCTATGTCCATTTCAGTTTGATGAGTAATTTGGTTGCTTTTTAAAAATTTTGTTTGAAATAATTTGTCGGAGTCTTAGACGCTGCTAACTTGTTTCGTAATGTCGAGGTGCCGGGTTTAATGCTAGCTGCACGAGATTTGGCAGCAGACTGCCTTGCGTTGTTTTTCGACAGTGGTTTCGAGAGCCGACCTATTTTGAAAAAACAAATCTGCCTAGATTCGAATTCAAGACCTTCAGGTTGGCAGGGAAGCGACCGGTTACTATGCAACCACGAATATCCATGAAGTCTGTATCAGTATGGACTCGTTGTCTCTTGAATGTTGGTTTTAAACGATCGCAGTAAATGAAAGTCACGTGACAACAGAACGGGACTGTAGTCCGAGTATATCAGAACTTCTCACTTCTTCAATGCCATATATTTTTGCACAGGGAGCGCCATTTTGTGCAGGGCTATGTCTACTGTCTCCAGTTGCACACACAGTAATGCCGCACGCTCCTTTCTATTGTCCCTGGAGTCATGTGCTGGAAGTGCTGGATTGACATATAATCTAAATAAATTACAGCGCCGGCCCTCACAATGTGCAAGGGCCTCACAATGTGAAGGGGCCTCACAATGTGCAAGCGCTTTACACGTTTTTTTTCTTCACATTTGTAATTTAAGAAATCAAGGACAACAAATATTAAAAATGGTAACTTTGAGCGTTTTTCTCACAGACTGACTGTCTGCCACACAGGCTCTAGAAAAAAAAAAAAAAAAAAAAACTCTGACAGTACACTAGAGAGTCTAACAAAAGAACTTGCTATGTTGTTACAAAAAAAAAAAAAAAAAGCCAGAAACTCACTTGGTGTGGATCTCACCTCACTCTTGCATCAAAGATAATGAAAGTGCTGATGCTTAGCCAAGGAAGGCAGCAGCAAACCACAAATCTACCAGCCACTATCTTTACCAGACGTCAAAACCCTCATCAGAAATAGATTGAAAAACCAGCACAGGTTATAACCATTAAAAAAAATATATATAAAGATTTCCTCAAACACCTGGACAGAACAGACTAAGTCACAGTTTATCGCTTACACGCTGGACACTGCAGACTCAACAAACACTTATATAAATTACGTATGAGCGAAACAAATCTCTGCCAGTGTCTTCATGCTAAACAGACTCCAGTACATGTCTTACAAGACAATCCTTTCTTGGCGGAGCTGTGGAGTAACATGTGGCAACACCCAGTTGACCCAACAACTAAGCTTTTGGGAAACCTAGGAGACCCTGAGATGACATTCCATTTTATGGCCCACAAAGGATTGTGCACATGACCAGAGATCGCTGAAGAAGAAGAAGAAGTAACTTTGAGCCTTTTGCAGGATTATATTATATTCAATTTTTGTTATTTTTTCAAACACATTCTTTGCTTTATGTTTTAACAAAACATGAAACTGCAGTATATTTAAATTATATAAAGAAGGGCATATTCATAAATGGCGAATTGAAAAAAATAAAATAAAAGCAGAAGGCATGGTACCAGGAAGGAAGGGCAGTGGCCGACCAACACGAAGATGGGCACAATATGTAAGTGACTCCTTGAATATGAAAGTAAAGGAGGCGAAGACCGTGATAAGAGTGAAGTTCAGCAAAAGACCTGCTACAAGATGATGATGATGACAAATTTTAGCGTTTTCTGGAGATAAGCTGGTGCAATTTAAAACGGTAGGGACCTCAGAGCTTTAGATAGCTAGGCCTCATCAGGTCTAAATCCGGCCCTGTGGGCTGGCAGTTAAAAGAAGTAAAAACTACAATTTGTCATTTTATCAATGGTTAAAAAGATTACTTGTTTATTATAGAAGAGAAGGGTTGATTGACTGTTAAAGATAACGCCTAGAAAAATTCCTGGATAATTATCACGAAATGCAGAAGAGAGCATTAATACGTAATAATACAGTATCAGTTTACGACCGGCTCCAGCTGACGGGCCGTTCTGCTGACATCACCGGGTCGGGCTAACGATGCGTTAACGCAGCGGTTAATAAACTGGATGCCTTGAGCGTATGCCGCGGCAATAATCAATGCGGCTAAAAATTGTGAAATTATTAAAGAAGGCATGCAGATACTTGAAAGTTTAATCTTAAGTTGTCTTACCTTGCCACTGTCGAAGATAGTTTACTTCTTTTTTTCCGCCGCATTAACGCATCGTTAGCGCGATCCGGTTACGCCAGCAGCACCCCCCGACAGCTGCAGCCGTTCGTGGTCAGTCCAGGCAGCTAGCCCAAGGTCGTCTTCAGCATGTTCGTGATGACGTCATCAGCGCCATAGTCTATATTGAAGTCGGTATTGGCTAACCCTTGTTGCCACATATCGCGTTTTCAAATGCCAGGAGGTGTATTCAGGAATGCTGAACAACAGGTTCTTAAATGCTGAGATACTGACCTTAATATAAACATTTTCAATCTTTTTTTTTTTTTAAGTAAGCATTTTTTTTCTAATCATGCCAGGTCTCCTATGGTAAAATAAGTCACGCAGAAGGTGGATCAGTAAAGGGAATCCATAAACCAGTCAAAGAACCCAAAGCGGCCTCCTTTTGCAAGTGTAGGTCTTTGTCGTTTGTTACAATGTTTCAAAACGTTAATGTTCTCAATGAGTGTGCTTTTCAGTTAAAATGTTAATTAATGTTTGTTGCGTATCCCTTACAGGACGTTGCAGAACCAACCCCACCATTGTTTGGCTGTTGTGCTTTTTCTAGGCAAATTTACGCCTAGTAGTTTGCCATTCCTCACTGAACGGTCGGCTTCTCGATACCACTGATGAAACCAATGCAAAGCCCAAGCCCGGAGCTAGCATCGAACCCGGGCACCCCGGCATTACGAAGCGCGTTCGCAACGCCTAAGCCACAGACGATGACAAAAATGTTAATTACATGTTCCTTTTCACTACGTCGCAAGCCAACCAGGGTATTTGTAGTTTCACTAGACAATATTACATTCAATAGTTCGCCAGAAGGCATGGTACTAGGAAGGAGGGGCAGGGGCCGACCAGCACGAAGATGTGCGCAGGATATAAGGGACTTCTTTAATATGAAAGTGCACAAGACGGGAGATCTGGCGAGAGACCGAGTTTCTTTCAGGCACACCGTGATGAGAGCGACGTTCTGCGAAGGACCAGCTATATTGGCCAGTGTCACTGAACGGACTATGCCCATATCATTGCCGAAGTCAGCGTCTGCTAACAAATTGCTTGCTGCGAAATATAACCCACTGTATGTTGAAAGTATGAAAATACGTTCATAACCATGTGCCACATACACCAAGCTTTATAATGCAGAAGGAGAAGAGGGATATATCTAATACCCTAGCTTAGGCGAAAATGATCGCCACACAGAATCGAATTCAATCAAATAGCAAAGAAACCGTCTTCAATAAAGCAGGCCTTCGGGCAGCTGAAAGAGGACACAATTTGACATTTTGGTTTGGTTTCAACGATTACGATTACGAGGGATATATCAAAGCTAATTGGCAAAAAGATCTGAATGCAGCGTGAGTTCAGGTGCTCTTCGAATGCAGGCGTTTATTTTACAAAAAACCCTATTTCCTTACATGACTTAATTTAACATAATAGTCTTTGGTTGAAGAAGAAGAAGAAGAAGAAGAAGAAGAAGAAGAAGAAGAAGAAGAAGAAGAAGAAGAAGAAGAAGAAGAAGAAGAAGAAGAAGAAGAAGAAGAAGAAGAAGAAGAAGAACTAGAACTAGAACAAGAAGAAATAGAACAAGAAGAACAAGAAGCAGCGGCAAAGGAGGAGTATGCGTTTTAGGGAGTAGTTGTAGCAAATTGGCTGGATGTTCAACTGGTAATCCAAAGATTTCAGATTTGAAACCACATCCCCCTCGTGTCGTTTCTGGGGACCGACTGGTGTTGGGAAGAGGGGGGGGGGGGGAATAACATATCCACTGCCTCCCTAATAAGCGAGGGGACGAGGAACCAACAGTCTGCATTCAAATATGCTAGATCTGTAAAACGGATGCGCAAGCAAACTGACGTTTTGGAACAAGACAAAAGTTCAGAAATGGACGAACGACCAAGCCTCTGCTGGAGTTTACAGCTGGTGAACGCTAAGAGAAAGAAGAAGAGGAAGAAACCGCCTTTAAGGGGAGTTTGTAAAATTGGGGTTTTAAGATAAATGGGCACTAAAAGGGGGAACCTAGGAAATGACCTAGAAATAAAGGGCGGGCGGCTTGGTGTTGTCCACGTCGCTTCGTGGCCAGCTAGTCTTTAAAAATATAGACTGAGCACCATATACTAGATGCGTCTTTGCAGTTCTTTAGTAACACATTTTAGGAGGCTGGATCGGCCCAGAATGGTATTAAAGAGAGAGAGAGAGAGAGAGAGAGAGAGAGAGAGAGAGAGAGAGAGAGAGAGAGTGTGTGTGTGTGAAAGAGAGAGAGAAAGTGAGAGAGAGAGACAAAGACATTTACAGAAAGAAAGACAATGAAAGATACAAAATGAGAAAGAAATAGACAGGAAGGCAGTCAGGCAGACAGTCAGGCAGACAGACAGGCAGGCAGACAGACAGACAGACAGACAGACAGACAGACAGACAGACAGACAGACAGACAGACAGACAGACAGACAGACAGACAGACAGACAGACAGACAGACAGACAGACAGACAGACAGGCAGACAGACAGGCAGGCAGGCAGGCAGGCAGGCAGACAGACAGACAGACAGACAGACAGACAGACAGACAGACAGACAGACAGACAGACAGACAGACAGACAGACAGACAGACAGACAGACAGACAGACAGACAGACAGACAGATAGATAGATAGATAGATAGATAGATAGATAGATAGATAGATAGATAGATAGATAGATAGATAGATAGATAGATAGATAGATAGATAGATAGATAGATAGATAGATAGATAGATAGATAGATAGATAGATAGATAGATAGATAGATAGATAGATAGATAGATAGATAGATAGATAGATAGATAGATAGATAGATAGAGGATTTATTGCACTATGTTGAATGCTTGCAGGTATAGAACCTATAGTGCAATTTGATCGCAATCAGTACAGAAAAGTGGAGTAAGTGTGTCGTGTTGTGCTGCAGTTTATTTTATTGTGTGGTTTGTGTCGACTCCACAATGACACTTGGCAGCCATGGTGTGCCTCCGTGGTGTAGCGGCGAGGCACCCGCCTGCGGACCCGAAGATCGTGGGTTCAGGTCTTGACATAGCCGGAGTTTTCTTTTAAAAAAAGGACACTGGCTCTCGGTTCCACCTAATTTTAAATGGGTACAATATTAAGTCCAACGACGTAAAGGCGGCCGGCATGATATTGACCACACCACCTTCCGAGTGCCGATTGGTCTATAAAATGTAGGTCACTGAGGAAAAAATTAGAGCTTTTGAAATGAAATGTTATAGAAAAATTCTGAAATACCTTGGATCAGGAAGAGGAAAAACATCGACATTCTAAACGAATTGAACATCGAGAAGAACAGGCTCATAAACAGCATCCTGTCCCGAAAGTTGAAGTATTTTTACTACATCAAGCGTCATGGTGGCTTGGAAAAGACAGTGATTGAAGGTGCAGTTTGTGAAGGTCCAGGCAGGGGTCGACTACCGCGAAGATGGATACAGGATATTGAAGATGTATTGGCACTGCAAGCACATAGGGCTGGAGAGCTGGCTAGGAAAAGGGATACTTTCAAGCGTGCCGTGGAGAGAGCGACGTTCTGTAAATGACTTGCTGTTTGATGATGAACCCTATATGACCAATGCGCTGAAGGCGCGGACAAGTGTAATATGCAATAAAAATGTTGTGCCCACTTAGAGAGAATGTTGGCAGACACTGCTGTTGCTAGGAGTGGTCCTGCACTGGACATCAATGCATGCATTACACTCGTCACCAAGACGACGAAGGGTATGACTCCGTACCCATCCCCAGTGTGATGGGCATCGGGTGCGAACCGGTGCTGCAGGAAATGAACATTTCACCAAGGGCATAAGTTTGATCAGTCCGCTTTTACACTCTTGGAGCTGTTGAAGAGGAGATCGGAGCACTTATGGATTAGTCAGGAATGCCGTGATGATAATCCATACTAATTACAAGAGAAAATGCCATGTGACGCGATGGATTCGACGTTCAACATCACCAGAATATCACAATGAGCGACAAACACTTGGCGACACAAAGTGCCACCATTTGGATGAGGATCACCCGGGGACAGGTCCCAGAAACCCTATTTAACCAATAGGTAGTGCTATGTTAGGCCCCCTGGCAGCAGACAGGGTGGGGCTTTAAAACATTTGTGTGTGTGTGTGTGTTTCATTTATTGTTTCAGTGTGCAGTTTTTAGTGTATTGTATTTTGTATGTGTGTTTATAAAAGGGGTTTCTAGATGTGCTTATAAAAGGGGTTTGCGTACATGTTTAATGGACAAGAAAGTCTGAGACCTTTCTGAGTTTGAAGTGTTGTATTTGTGGACAAGAAAGTCTGAGACCTTTATGAGTTTGAAGTGTTGTATTTGTGGACAAGAAAGTCTGAGACCTTTCTGAGTTTGAAGTGTTGTATTTGTGGACAGAGAAGTTTCTCATTGTCCAGACTAGATTCACTAGAGACACAACAATTCCTCTCACACACACAGATACACACACACACACACACACACACACTCACACACACACATACACACACGCTCGAGTGAAGGCTGCTCTAGACCTGTTGATGAATTTAGAAATATTGCGTGGTGAGGCCCTAATCCCTATTCCTCGGTGCGACTCTTGTACGACTGTCCTAATTTGTTTTTGTTTAAAAAAAAAAAACTTTCGCCGCGGAATTGGAATCATTCTGTATCAAGAAATTTTGATATAGAATGAAAACAAAATTGTACCAGAACTCACTGTAAAGTATCTAAGGAGATGATGCTACTGGAAGAAACTATTATAGACGCGCTAAATAAAAAAAAATAAAAAATGTCGCCCCCAAAAAGCGCCAATACTTAGTACCGTCAAGTACTGCAGCCCTCCAAGACACCGATCTCATTGGTTATCAATCTGTTTACAGCCATACTCTTCAACGGTTCCTGAATGCAGCCATAGGTAATCCCATGCAGAGAATATTGAATTTCGGAGTCACAGTCTGGTGGAATGATCAGAGATACACAGCAGAAACAGTCTGCGAGTGGATTCAGAGGTATATCTACGAAATGTCTTATAATACATATTTTTTCCAGTATACATGTTATTTCCAGGATACATGTTATTTCCAGTATACATGTATAGTTATTTGCTATTTAGCGCAACATTAATATTATTATTAGTCAGCACTCACGCAAAGCTAAACCCTCTTTCTCCCCCCCCCCCCCCCAATTGAGCTCTATCCAACTTGGGACCTGAGAATATTTGTAAAATTGATGGGGGAGGGGTGGGGGTTGGGGGGGGGAGAGAAGGTCTTCCCCCAGTGATTTTTATGTGACGCCTCTAACGTGATTGTTTAATTATTGTTATGGACGCCAATCGACAGATTAGAGTTGACGATTAATTATAAGGCCGACCCCACCAACATAGGACTGCAGGTTCA